TGTGGATTTAAAAGAGGGGCAGCCACTCACTGAAACTCAGCCAGACAGATCACTGGTCAAATATTAGGACCGAAGGAGGAAGGAGATTGGAAATAGATTCAAAATAAACAGCCCATATCAACCCACTAGGAAACAAGTAGAATGCTAGATGAAGAAAAAAATGTCATATGAGAATAAAGATTGTTTTTTAACTCTGTGCGTCCTGTTCATAGGATTCACTTATTTGTTTCAATTAAATCAGAACACAGAACATTTTGTTCCCAAAACACAACAGCCTCTTTCTCATAAATGTCACCAAATATTATAATATGAAATATTAAGAGCTTTTCTCATAAATTTTGACCTTTTTCTCAAACATATGGCAAATTTATTGAAATATTTTGCCATTTTTTTCCACAAAAATTATGATTTATTTCCATTAGTGTTTTTCAAAATATTTTGACACTGAATTTGAGGACACTATAACCGGACCCCACACTCAGACACAGCGATTTGGTGTAGAACCATGGTGCAGAGATCAGGAGGTCAAACTGCTGTGCAGTGTCTGGTGTGTTCAGGTCAGGCCCCGACAAGCAAGGTGAAGTGAAATGGGTTTGTCCAGGTTCCATTCTGGTCTCATTAACTCCGGTCGGACACCCGCGTCCCCTAGATGTTGCTCGCTCCCTTTTTGGCCTACCTACATCACAGCCCTTTAACAAACATTTAGTTGTGATGGGTAAGGTGAGGAAGAGGAATGCATTATGACTGTGATTGTCACATGAGTGTCATAACTATAGAAAGACAAACATCAGTGTATGCGTGTGTGAAGCAATAAACCACACTGCCTATCAGTTATATGTCATATTGTCTATGAAGTGATATGCTGTGTGTAAGATGGAAGGTTATAAGAAGGAGAGGATGGGGCAGTACTTTCACTCAATCAGAGTACTTTAAATAATTAAACTGATCAACTTAATTAGCTCAATTAAGTTGATTTGACCAAGGAACATTGCCATATGGTGCAAGGAAACAAAGGGGTGTGGGGGGGAGCTAATTAAAAGTAAAATAATGAGGATTTTAATTAACTGGTTCCCTAGACGTCAGCAAGCAGGGATCTGGAGTTGTAATTAAAAAGTCCTGTAGGGCTGGCAACATTCTCTCCCTCCCTGTTTTAATAATGGCAAGGGCTCCATCCATCTAATTAAATCTGTAAATGAATTAGCAACATTGAGGGTCCCTGTTTGAG